GGTACAAAACCACTTAAAAGAAGGGCTGGATTAGATGCACATATTATTTAGCTCAGGATGGGCTGTGCAAAATACTTCACTGTATTATACAATGTAGTGAGCTTTAGAGTCACCTTGTTGATAAAATTCTTCTCAGCTCCAAATGCCAGGACCAGTGGAGCGATGACTTTTAGAGAGCCGCATTGTGCTGAAAGGGTTTCTGAAAGACAGTAGTGCTGACGTTGGCAGAACAAGGACAACAAAGCAGTCTGTGTCTTACCAACATTGTAAGCATGGGTGTTTCATGCGCTCTTGTCCTTTACTAAACTTCTGTACATCCTTAAAAATAGATCATAATTAGAACCAAAATCTTTTTACAACTTAATGCCACAGAACCTTATAAACTTTTTATTCTCTAGTTATTCTGAAAACTAAGAACTTCTGGAAACTATAAATGAGTGAAGACATGGGGCCTCATTTATAAAATACTGCGTAGAAAGAATCCTAAATTTGATTTTACGATAATTTCTCAAAGTGCGTACGTGTGATTCATAGAACGAACGTACGCACAGAAAACGTGTCTAATGTCTATTTCATGTCCTTGACTTATAAAAGAGCACCTGACAATGTCCAAATCTTTTACAAACGGCAAGAAGGGCTTATATTTTCAAAAACCTGCAGCACTCGGGCAAACAAAAGTGCGTATGTCTGCTCAGACCCTGACGTGGCGCTAAGCTCTTTTCCAGATCAAAGACCGTTTTTATAAATCTGAACGTTGCCGTGGATTTTTGCGTGGGCACACTCTACGATCAAATCTGTGCGTACGCACGTTTTATAAATGAGGCCCATGGTTCTTAATAAGAAGTTCTTAAAACCCACCATTTCTCTTTGTGTGAAGCACATTTTATTAACCTAAAGAAACTCTTTCCACAATAACCTTGTTCAACAACAAAGGTTCTTCATAGTACCACTGATGCACGTAAAGAACCTTTATTTTTAGTGTACGCAGAGAAAAATGGTTCTTTGCTGAACCTAAAGTTGAGCAAAGAACCACTGAAAAACCTTTTTAAGAACTTTTTATTGTATACATCTTTAGAAAGCACCATGTACTGGCGCATCAACCCAGAAACCAATATATTTATCTGAAAAACTATAAAGAACTGTAATCTTCAAAGCAGTAAAAAAAAAAAAAAAATTAAATGCTACAAAGAACCATTGAAAAAAAAAAAAACTTTAATAGTGTATGGTCTAAAGCAGTGGTTCCCAACCCTGGTCCTGGAGGCAACCCAACACTGCACGTTTTGAATGTCTCCTTAATCAAACTCACCTGATTCAGGTCATCAGCTCATTAGTAGAGACTCCAAGACCTGAAATGGGTGTGTCAGAGAAAGGAGACATGCAAAATGTGCAGTGTTGGGGTGCCTCCAGGACCAGGGTTGCGGACCACTGGTCTAAAGCAGGGGTGTCAAACTCAATTCCTGGAGGGCTGGAGCCCTGCAGAGTTTAGATTCAACCCTAATTAAACACACCTGATCCAACTAATCAAGTCCTTCAGCTTTATTTGAAGGCTGACATATGACATGGCATATGTGTTGCAGCAGGTTTGGAACAAAACTCTGCAGGGCTCCGGCCCTCCAGGAACTGAGTATGACACCCCTGATCTAAAGCAAGGTAACGCAGGTGGGCAAATGGTTTGAAATAAAACAATGCAATACAATTTGTAACAGCGAATGCACAGAAACAAGTTCTTTGTAGAACTGATGACCAACTCAAAGTCACAGTTAATTTGTTTAAAGGGCATCATACAAAGGCATGATGATTACTTTGAATCCATCTTCTTGCTTGGGTTTCTTGTTCAGTGTACCATTTCTGTTTGCACTTTAATGTCCATACAAATGTGTATTTATTCTCAGTGCTGTCCACATGCAAACCATCATAAATCACCTGCATGGCGGTAAATTTAAGCTGTGCCCTAGTTTTGGTTTAGAGCATATGGAATGAACCTAGAGGTGATTTTGAGAGGTTTGTCTCGCTTGTTCCAGTGAATCCTCCCGAGTAAGAGAGTGGAAGACCATACTCCAGTGAGATGGAGCCGAGCCCTGCGGTGTGGCACACCCAGGTGGTCCCGCTAGAAACAGACCTGGAGAGGGTGAGCTCCCATCCCGAGTGCTCCATCTGCTTCAACACCTATGACAACGTCTTCAAAACGCCAAAACGGTTGGACTGCACTCACACCTTCTGCCTCGAGTGCCTTTCCCGCATTATGACCACCTCCATGGACCCCCAAAACTCTAAAATCTCCTGCCCCTTCTGCCGCCAGCCCACTACCATCCCAAAAAAGGGGCCTCCGGCTTTGACCACCAGCCAGGAGGTGCTGTGTCGTCTGCCCGTCCACCAGCAGCAAGAGGAGCAGGTGTGGCTGGACGGGGAGAGGCTGTGCTACCAGCGGCAAATAGACATTCCAGGTGTGCCAGCGTTCTGCATCTGTGTCGATATTGGGGCCAGTGGACAAAGCGCTGTATCTTCTTCTCAAACTCGACCGCGACTTGGGCTTCTGGAACGACTGATGGATTGGAAGCGTTTGCTGCTATTTATATTCCTCATGGTGCTGCTGTTGGGGATTGTTCTGTGGCCCCTGCAGTGTATCGTCACGACGGGCTCAATGCGTTGTGCGTCCCAGAACTTGCAGATGTCTACTACCACACCTTCTACTACCACAGTCAACATATAAGTAAGATAGACATGTCTAGATTGTTACTGGACTTGCTAAATCAGGATGACCGGTGTGAGTTTACAGTACATCCATACCTCCTTGCAAAGCCTGCTGGGTGCTCAAGGAGTTAAGGCAAGCAGCAGGACTGCGGTAAAGACTGAAGAGCTGTATGAAAATCATTGTCACCTTACAGCACGTGGACAAGTGTGACAAAACTGACTGATGGCTAAATGTCTGCTTACATTTGATCAAAACAAAATTTTTGCAAAAACAATACAAAGTATTGTCACAAACTTTTGGTGCAGTTTTGCGGGCAAAAAAAGGTCCATTGTCAGTAGTGTAATGATGTGAAATGCAAGTCACAGCAGCTTTCTGTTGGTCAACATGGCAAATCTGTATTACCAACATGAACATGAGTGAAATCTGTTTTTGAGAACTTTTTCCAGATGATTGCACAGATTTCTATTGAAATGACTGGACTTGAGCACAGTACATTTGGCTGCAGCTTAATCCAAAGAAAGCAGAATGGGTTTTTCTTTTTACCTGTACATTCGTGTGTGTGTGTATATATTTATTTTTTTTGATCGTATTACATCCCATGAAGTGTATTTTGTTTACAAAAAATAAAGGACTGTTGCTGTAACCCACACAAGGAAGTTCAAGGAATGGTGTCATGGAATGTTTTAATAGGTACAATAGTGATAAACAGATTCACATGGCCCTAATTGATCACTTCCTGCTCTGGGACGGTTAAACAAACACGCCTCAAAGAATAACCGTCTGAAACATAAGCCCTGCGGTGACTGGTCCTGTGAATACGCTCACACCCACGTAAACTGATCCACTGTGTGTGTGTTTTGTAGGGATGAATTACCAGTTTCCTACTTCCAGGTGTTTTTTTTTTAATTAAAATAAACTAATGTTAAGATGTTCATTATTAAACCCTGAAGAGAGAAGGAAATTATGAAGCGGGAAGGAAATAAAATATGGGTCAACAACTGTTTGTTTGGAGCAAGGTGAAATGAGTCAAAGACATTTAGTTGAAAGTTCCCAGTGTATGCTTTATTATGCAATAACTAGTCCTGTACTGTCATTTGAAATGCAAGTCTTTACATCAGTTGTATCTTTCAGGGCAGAAGGCATTTTAGGCTGAACCAGTGCAAGAGGGAACACAGTCTTTATCACACAAGGACAATCAGCACGACACGATTCAGATCAAACCTACTGGTCACCAACTGAGATAAAAAAACCCCCACCAACATAGTATTCAAGTAAATTTAAAGCAAAGTCTTTGAAATTGTGATAATGTAAGCAGAAAGCTTTGTAACTGTTGATGTTTTGTATAATAGCAGTAATAATAATAACATCATCCTAAAATAATATGCAAAACGGCTGTGAATATTTCCATCACTGTATTAACAAACAAATAAAATGTACAATTTACAACAAATCAACTGACCAAAAAAATAAAAAGAATTATGTGTAACGCAAAACACCACACTGATGGCATATGAACAAAAAATAGTCCGAACAAAAGGACATTCTGACAGCTACCTTGCAGCAGTTCAAACTGAATTTCAAGTCTTAATATGTCATTACATTTTTGACCCTTTACCCATTTTCACAGAGTTTAAAATAAAAATTTAAACAGCAGACAGCTTTCAGATGCCAGTAGTACATTGCTGTCACACGATCAGGTACATACATCACAAATTAATTCAATCAGTCAGTCATTCCATGGATAATGATTATCATATGCAGTGGCATTGCTTTTACTTTCTGGACCGTCTAACAAACTGGTACTTTAGTATAAAACGCAAACATTTAATCCATTTAAGTGCAAAAGAAGCAGACCCAGGCCTCCCTCTGAACATGTCCGGTAGCCCTTCAGATCATGACATCACAGTCTTTCACAGTCACATGCTGATTAATCACATACATTATGTCCCGCTTTATCCAAGTCATGATGTACACTATTATTCAAATTTTTTTTGTCTGTAAGATTTTTTAATGTTTTTGACAGAAGTCTCTAATAAAGTCTCTAATAATTTATTCATGTGCAGGCAAAGCAGCCATTACTCCAGTTTTCAGTATTACATGATTTTTGTTTTATTATCATCAAATGTTAAAAAGGCTATGCTGCTTAATTTTTTTTGTGGAAAACATGATACTTTTTTTCCAGGTTCTTTGATGGATACCAAAAAAAAGCATTTATTTAAAATAGAATTTTTTTTAAATATTATAAAAGTCTTTATTTTAATGAATGGATCCTTGCTAAATAAAAGTATTAGTTTCTTAAAAAAAAATAAAAAATCTTACTGACCCCAAACCCTTACTGACCTGGTAATGTATATATAACATCTTATGACTGCTGACCTCTCCTAATAATAGCTACGTGTGGATTAATTTACGGCCATGTTTTAAATTACTTTTTTCGCCCTACACAAATCTATTTCTTTAATCTTAGCTGCAGGCCATCTGGCCTGCCTCCTTTTTAGTTAAAGTCTCCACCGAAATGCATCCTGACGTACCCCCTCCCTTGTAGAGGTTTAGTAACACCACTTTTTTATTTTACGTTTTTTTTTTTCATTTGAAGGCCTCCTCAGTGCAATCATCACAACCCGCTATTTACGTAAAGAGCTTTATCGGGCCATTTATACACACATACCCTGTTTATATGTGATAAAGGAGCTTAATGTGTCTCTTAGGATGAAAATGTGGAATAAAATAGTCAAAAATACGAGAAATGCATTTTATAAAAAAATGCCAGGCCTAGATTTCATAATCACATTCACAAATATCACAAGAAAAGATACAATTGCTCTAAAGGAATCATAGTTGCAAACAAAATTACTATTAACAAACAAACAAAACCCTACCTAATAAAGGCTCACCTGATGTTTTCAGAACAAGAAAGCCGACGCATAGAGGGAGGAGCACGTTGATGAAGAGGCAGCCTGATTGGTTGATAAGCCTTTGATTGACAGTAGCACTTGACTCCCTCCGACTGTTCATTAGCCTGGAGGTAATGCTCAATAAAAAGGCATCAAAGCAGAAGCTTTTATGAATATGATGTACAGGCTGCTAATTGGCACATACTGTATAGATTCTACCACACTGTACCAAATCAGCCCATTTAAAACACCTACTTACATAAGGTATCCAAATCATTGGTCGAACTTTATTTTGACCAATCACCTCTCATATGCTCTGAAAAGAAAAGGGGGGATTCTTGACGCTGGGCGTTGTACTTCTCTTCTTATATCACCGTGCCATGAGCATCACTCAGCGGAGCGTAAATAACCGCTGCTTCTGAGATATATATCAAAGGTCTTTGGTTACAGTAGATGACATCCAGTAGACAAAGCAAGGTCTGGAAACAGCCGTAGACAGCATGGAAATAGCGTAGCTTCATCCAAAGTTACGTCACTGAGTGTAAATATTCATATTTCATGTATATTTCACACATATACAAACCATCATGTAGCTTAGTGCAGAGTAGAGAGGCTTGTTAGACTAGAAGTGGGGAGAGAAAGCACCAAGTCACGCGTCCTTTGCGGGAACAATTTCAGCTGCTGCTTAGGCACTTGGTTTTGGAGTGTGAGTTTCTTAGACGTAGTCAGTCAGGAAATGAAGAGAGGAGCTGTTGGAGATTTCGGTGGAATCTCAAGCCGAGCAGCTGGGCGGCTTCGCCTCAGTGTAGGTGCTGCTGGTGCCCCCCTCCCCCCAGTGCTGTAATCCAGTGTCGCTCCATGATCAGGTGCTTCTACACAGCACCTCTGGAACTGCAAAGCAAAGGAAGAGAACATTTAGGGATGCATTCTTTAAACAATTGTGCCACTTTCACACATACTTCTTGGTTCTTTTGCAAATGGTAAAATCTGATGCATTAGTTCAGGCAGTGGAGTCATTATCTGGAGTATCTACTGTACACTATACTGTTGCTATAGTAATGATGTAGGCGTCAGCAAGATGCCAAATGACTTTCTTTTACAAAGGCTGAGTATCAAGCTGTCAGTATAGAAAGAGGAGGAAAAATTTACATTTTATGGACACATCCCTTCGTGCCTTCCGACAAATTCTGCAAGACAAAATTGCATATTTTAACTATGGTCCGAAAAATAAAAAAAAGGTTTAATTGAAATCCAAACCACATACTCTATGGATATGATTTGGAAATGTTTTTGCTATTCAGTCTACCAATAACTAACTAGATTTCAGTCAGATATGCCTACACAGATAACTTTAATATAATGCATAATTCCCAATCCTATGAATTATGGGACTATAAAGACCAAAGTAAAAATCTATGAAATTAATACTTATAATAGTCATCATCAGTCATTAAAAAGTAATGGCTGCATTTATTTGATCAAAAATACAGCGAAAACAGTAATAATGTGAAAAATGACAATTTAAAAGAACTGATTTTTATTTAAATATATATTTTAAAATGTCACATATTCCTGTGATGGCAATGCAAAATTTTCAGCAGCCATTATTCCAATCTTCAGTGTCACACGATGCTTCAGAAATCGTTCTAACATGCGGATTTAGTGCTCAAGAAACATTTATTATTATTAGGATTTGTTTGAGGAATAGAAAGTTCAAAAGAACAGAAAATCTATGAATTCTTTTTAAACAAACAAAAAAAGAAAAACAAGAAATGATTATTATTTATAATAAAATGCACTGCTTTACTATTATTTTGCTATATTTTACAGATTGTATTTTATGCATTTATTCGTTTATAAAGTAAGTATTTAGAAAGCATACTAAACCTTTGAAAACATCAGTAGTTGTGAGTATTCTTTGAAGTATGGTGTTATTTTCAAGGCCATTTGGCATACAGTGCTGTTCTGTAAGATTATACTTTTTCTGATGGTGGGCTGCCACAAAGACACAACTCTTACCCCCATCTGTTCCTTACTGTCTTTCTCTCTACTTCAACAGCTTTGATGCAAGTGTGTGTGTGTGTGTGTGTGCGCGCATGTTAGCATGGCTGCAGCAATGTGAAGCACTGTGAGAGCGAGGGTGGAAAAACATACTCGCAGAGTTCCTGAGACGACATCCCACATACAGTATCTTATCTCCTGGTATTGCTGCTGGTGGAGCCCTTTGGATTTTTGATGTTCAAATTCTCATAAACGCCAGAGTCATCGTTCATTCTGTGGAAGTTGAAAAGAAGCGTTACTGAAATAAAGAGGACTGAAATGACATCTATTCGATTATAGGGGTCAAAACGGATGTTCCAAAATAGAAACTGACACTGTTACAAACACATTGTATGACTTGATGTACTGTATGAAGTTGCATATTGTGTTTATTGTTCTAGAGCAACTGATTCAGAGCAGCATCAGAACCCTTTTGATGGAAAATGATTCACTTAGCAATAAATACATTTAGAATTGAGGAAGTGTAGGAGATAGTACAGTTTACCAAAAGAAACTCATTAACTGTTTTCCCGTAACAACACTGTGTGGGCCATTTTTCAAAGTGTGTGTTTGCGTGCACAACAGGAAATCAGCACTTACACAGATGAAGAGCGAGACGAGCTCATGTTTGGCTTGGCTCTGGCATTTGACATCTGTGGGTACTTGATGTTAGAGTACTCTCTCTCCTTTGTTTTATTCCTCTGAAAAAGAAAAAAAAACAAGGAATCTCAAACGTATGCATTTTAATTTATATAAATAAGGGATGTCAAATATTTAAATTCCTTTGTACTTAAGTTAATCAATTCAGTTAACCATTTCAATCAATTCAATTCAGTCTTTTAAAAAATAAAATCAGATTGGATTTAGATTGTTGTTGTTTTTTACTGTATTCTTCACCAAATAAATGCAGCTTGGTGGGCATAAGAGACATTCAAAAACACTGAAAAACCTTTACTGACCCCAAAATGTTAAACGGTAGTGTATATGCATACTGTATCCTACAAACGGCACTGGAGAAAGCTAAATTTATGCAGAAGTTCTCTTCACTTTTCTCAGTTGCGCAAAAAAGTTTTAATATCAAACTCATAAAATAATTATTTTTGATCAACTTTGACAGTCCTATCAGTGAATATGTCGCATTATTATCAGGTGAAATGAAGTGTGTAAATACCTGCTCCTCTTCCAGTCTCTTCTGAGCGGTGTCAATGTATTGCTGAACAGCCATGTAGATGAACTTGTACTGGGCCTCGGTCTGAACCATACCGGATCGTTGCTGGCGCACTCTCTGAATGGTCTTTGGGATGTCGATGTCACAATCCAACCCTTAGAGATTCAGTTCAGTTGTGTTATTTTTTTATCATCCAGAGGCATAAAATTCAATACAGAGATAATTTTGTATAATACAGTTACCTTGTCTGTTTATGATATCAATAAGGATGTCAATTACAATAATTGTGCCTGTTCTTCCAATCCCTGCACTAGAATGACAAATAGAAGTTTAGATTATAGAGCACACAATGAGGGAAAATGTTGTATTTTTAAACAACTGTGTTGACATCTGATATAATCAACTCAGTTCAGCAATTCTTTTTTGTTATGGCCCTCTCAAAACTACATTAGTCAAAGGGATAAGTGAGGTGTGCTATACCTGCAGTGAACCACTATTGGTCCACTCTCTGGAATGGCACTCTGGGTTCTGTTGACTTGCTCCAGGAAGCTCAAGACTCCTCCAGGTTCATTGGGAACACCGTGATCTGGCCAGCTCAGGTACTGATAGTGCCAGATACACCTGGGAGGCTCTCTCTTTATTACAGATGAAAATAAAAACCTCATCAGATTATTAAACAAAATTAAGAAAAAAGACTGCATCTAAACTGGACTTTACTACGTCACTAAAGTAATGTAGAAGGTTCTCTCCAAGCTGCTACTGTAAACAAAAAGGTCAAAGGTCATGCCTGCCCTCCAGTATCATCATCAGAGTGCTAAAAAACCTCATCAGATTATTAAACAAAATTAAGAAAAAAGACTGCATCTAAACTGGACTTGTACAAAAATGTAACATAACACGTCACTAAAGTAATGTAGAAGGTTCTCTCCAAGCTGCTACTGTAAACAAAAAGGTCAAAGGTCATGCCTGCCCTCCAGTATCATCATCAGAGTGCTCTTACCCTGTCTAGACGTGTAACTTCAAGCTCTCGCCGTATGTAGTCCTGAGCTGTGTGTTCCTCAATGTTCTTCACACACACCTTCCCAAACTCCTTTGTTGAATTTAAGTCCGGCCAGTACCGCACACACTTATTCTATAGATAGAATTTTAGTTTTCAGTTACAAAAAATGATTTGTGTTGTACATTTAGTTAAATAGTGATGTTTTGAATTTAAATACTTTTATAGATATTTTTAAAACGGAGTACTAAACTTCTCAAATGAAGCATTAAGAATGTTTTCAAATTTTGAATTACATTTATTTTTTACCTGTTTTTTTATTTTATATTTAATAAAAATAAAATGTTAAATTAACTAATAAAATGTTAAATGAAACGTTAAATTAAGACAATAAAATTATTTTTATTTATTTATATTTTTTACATTTTGCAATTATATGTGCTGTGCATTTTTTGATCATTTCAGAGAAAATTGTGAGATCTTGTGAATTTAATTTCATAACCAACAAATCTACAAAAAAACAAAAAAACAACAACATTGATTCAGCCAGGGCTGGACCTCACCCGTCCTCTCTCCATCTCCTTGGTTGTCATGACAATAACATGAGTGTTTTCCTGGTACACCATTTTCCAGAAGTCTACGACAGTGTTCTGAAGGCAACCCTGAGTGGCGATGAACACTTTCCCTTCACCCATATGACGACCTTCTTCATTCATGCTCTAAATGAAAAAACAATCAATAAGGACTATACAGAACATACAGATTATAAAGAACATACAGTGTGTACAATTATTGATCACAGTTCCAGTAACCCAGCAAAAGCCTGACATTTTGATTGACATGTAAGCGTTATGAGTGAAGCGGGGGGATTACTCGGATATAGTTAGCGTTGATGTAATCGGAGCCTGGCACGTCAGGATCCGCCTCCTTGATCTGCACTCGAGTGGTGTCAACTGCAACAGAGAAAATGATGATCAAAGCTGGAACAAGAGCCCTGGAGATATCTGTTGCTCTATCATTAAATAATGAAACAGATCTGTCCATTAAGAAACCTGAAAAATAATGTACATAAAAGAGAGTAACTCACATGGTAGTATGTTCTTATATCTGTTCTTGTTTTTGTTTTCTGGTTTCTGCCCCTCTTTCCTGGGGTAAAGGAGTTTACATTCTTGCTGCTGTAAAACCTACAGAACCACAGGGGACAAGATAAAGAAAGTAAGGATGAAATGTGGTTCCATGTACCAAGTAATGAACCCTTGAAAAGTATTCATTTTAACTTTGCTGTGTAATGAGATGTTATGTTAAGTCAGCACCCCCTGCAGGAATGTCCCATTTATCTAGACAGTTACCGCCCAACAGGAACTGCAGTTTGAGAGGTCAGCAAGCAGATAGTCTTTCTATAAACAACTCTCATATCAAACACTCCTCTGAGGTTTAATGCGTGTACTACAGCGGAAAGTTAGCTGTCTATTCTTTCAAACAAAACCTGGACTGAATCATCACATCCCATGATGAACAGAAAATATGAGTAGAAGAATGAATATGGACAGAAATACCTCAAATTCTTCCCAGAAGCCTTGCTTGGGTTTCTCCGAGTTGTCAGCTACTTTATTTAATTCTCGTACCCTGTTTTCAATGTTTGCTGCATTTATCCTTGTGGCATTGAATGGCTGGTACATAGAGAAAGAAAGATAAAAAACAACAACAAGAAAATGTAAAAAGGACCTTAAATGTAATTATGAGGGTTAAAAGAGTGACATTTAATTAAAAGGATTAAAGCACAAACACACTTCAAGCTAAACATTTAAAACAAAATATTTATACAGAAATGTTAGTTAGGTCATGTTAGGTTTCAAGAAACGATCCAATATGCTCCAAAAATTAGTATTACTTTTTAAAAATGTTTTGAAAGAAGTCTCTTATGCTCACCAAGGCTGGATTTATTTGATATTATATTGTGAAATATTACAATTTAAAATAACTGTTTTTTTTATTTTAATGTATTTTCAGCAGTCATTACTTGAGTAATTTTTTTATCGAAAGTTACAAATAAATAATTAAATAACTGAAATTGAATTATTTTGTAACATTATAACATTTTACTGTCAATATTTGTGATCAATTTAATCAATCCTTGCTAGTAAAAGTATGATTTTTTTTGTCCAAAAAAAAAAAAAATCTTACTGACCCCAAGCTTTTGAACGCTAGTGTATATTATTTTGCATACTTGTATTTTGCATTCATAATTCACTGTTTGTGTGAAAAAAATATATTGCTTTCAGGCTTGATTTACTCACCTGTTTAAGGTGTACAACAATTCCACTCTTCTCAACCATGGGGTTTTTCTTATAATGCTCCACTAAATCTGCCAAAGTGTCAAACCTCTCCCCTCCTCCTACATCATATTTTCCATCCTGGTAGAAGTGATCAGAATATCTCTTTAAAAAGGCTGAGCTTTCTGTTCTTGAGAAAATGCTGACGTTTTATTCCATATTTACCTGATAACGGATCATGACATGGGTAACTTTAGTCTTGCGGTCTAAATTGTCATGCTTTTCTTCATTAGTGAGGACGGAAAGCACAAAGTCTCCCGGTTTACTTTGGCTCTCTCTCACCAGGAAGCTGCCGGATTTGCCCTTCTCCGTAAGGAGCTTTTCAGCATCTCTCCCTGAGAGATGCCCATGATACCACCTGAGAACAGGTAAAACACAACAATGAGGCACAGAAATACAAATAATGTTTTTCTTAAATACACCGAAATTATTTTTTTCCAGTGATGGCAAATCTGAATTTTCAGCAGCCATTACTCCAGTTTCCAGTGACACATGATCTTTCAGAAATCATAAATGAATTCCTTCTGGAATAAATGATCGGTGTTTTGAAATCTATTAAATAGTAATAATTTAAATAGTAAAAAATCAGCAAAAACACAACAATCATAATCTCTGCATCTAAACACACATGTTCCATGCAATGTTTCATATGCAAACCTTCTCATCGTAATGTAAGTGATTAATAATGGCTGCCCCACCCCCCACAAAAACTTGACATTTTTTACTTGAAATGCACATTTCCAACTTTCACTATAGAAACTATAGTGTAAACTATAGTTTGTGGTCGGAAAATGAACAAATGTAAAGACAGTGTGAGCTGTCATGATATGAGGATATGTGTGGGAGGCACTCGCTCACAAACTGGAAAAACCACAAAAACAAACCATATATTACCTTAGAATGTAAATATGTTTTTCATCGATAATGCTTTATGTATAGAAATATTTCACTTTGATTTCACAACCTAGAGGATGTTGCAGCCAGCCCTATAAACACCAAATCCAAATATGTTTAGGTGAAGGAAGTTACAAAGTACACTAGACTCCAAAATTAGACTGGACCGCTAACACATAAACATCAAACACAAACAGAATCAACGAAGGACCTGTTCCACAGTGCTACAACAAAGTGGTAGTCATGAAATCAAGATAAGCACAGTAAACTGCTGACATACAAACCACAGCCTGACGTGCCATCAGTCTGCTACTCTTCCTTTCCAATGATCAGCCCTCTCTGGGGTTTGAACACTAGGGGGCAGGATTTCTTCTGCCCAAACTGATGCCACTGTCAAGCTCTAAGTGCTCTGGGTGGATCTGGAGCTGCCATACCTCTCAGACGTGGGGTCTTTGCAGTTGAGGGGGTATTTCAGCTCGATAACATCTCCATTGCGTTCCCGCAGGAGGTCGTGCTGCTCGGTGTAGTACTGGACCAATTCAGCCAGCGTGGCAAACTTCTCCCCTCCGTACAGGTCATAATAGTCCCCCGAGTTCTGGATTTTAATATGGGTGACCTCATCGTTCCTCCTGCCCAGAACAAACAGATGGGACACAACAGGGAAAATGGAAGGGAGGGAGGACATGAGGGATGACAGACAGGATGGAAAAGATGGAAAAGACATAACAGTTAGGAGGTTGGCATTAAAAACTGACACATTAAATGCTGATGTAAATATTTTACAATGGTACAGTTATTTAGCAGACATAAATGAGGTTTTATCAAAATAGCAAGAGTGAATAATAATAGCCTTTGAAGCATCAATTACAACAGGCTGACAATTATAAACAAATTCAAATCTGTGTGTAAATCTGCACTGTAGGCCATGATTTACCAGCAAAAGCTTTTATAAATTTAGATAGCCATCATAACATTACATTTTAGCTGTAAAATATGCAGCTATCATTGAAAATTAATTAAATTGTTTTATTTTCTTATTTAAAAAACAACAACAACAATGCGAAATGATAAAAAAAGGTTAAAACAATTAACCACAATTAATCTCATGATCTTTTGCAGTGAACATCATATTCAGTTCCTTTTAAATAAAAAATACAGTAGTAATGCGAGTTAAAAGGAACATAGCTGTGTGGATGGATCTTCGCAAACACTGATAATAATAAATAAATATTAATAATAATAGGTTTACACATTAGATAGTATCAGAACTTCAGAAAAAAAGAAAATCTGTAGGCCATGATTTACCAGCAAAAGCTTTTATAAATTTAGATAGCCATCATAACATTACATTTTAGCTGTAAAATATGCAGCTATGATTGAAAATTAATTAAATTTTTTTATTTTCTTATTTAAAAAACAACAACAACAATGCGAAATGATAAAAAAAAGGTTAAAACAATTAACCACAATTAATCTCATGATCTTTTGCAGTGAACATCATATTCAGTTCCTTTTAAATAAAAAATACAGTAGTAATGCGAGTTAAAAGGAACATAGCTGTGTGGATGGATCTTCGCAAACACTGATAATAATAAATAAATATTAATAATAATAGGTTTACACATTAGATAGTATCAGAACTTCAGAAAAAAGAAAATAATGCTCAATTTATATTTGAGAAAAATGCTAAGACACTGTGATTGAAGACATTCTTATCTACTTAGACATATGAGTATGACCTTAGAGATTTGGAAAAAAAGGGGGTTGAAAACCGAGGGACAAAGTGTTTGGAGCAACCAAAATCACAAATAGAATACACTTAATGGAAAATTACTCTCAGTAGACTTCAGGTATTCTGTCATCAAAACCGTCAAAAACTGCTCTGCAGCTTTAAATGGCAGCGTATGGAAAAAGCAGAAAGGAACACCTGCATAGATATAATCAGCTGTGCTCAGGCACAAAACCACAACTTAACGCTTCGTGAGCAGATCATACCTACAGCAATGCAGCTCAAACACACACACAAAAAAAGTACAGAAAAACTTAATCATGTGAAAAACAGCAACCGATCTAATATGAGACCATGATTCCTCTCCCATTTCATTTCTCTGGCTTTCTCCAGGCATTCATTGCTCTATCCATCACTGGCCTGGCTCATGAAATTGCACTCTTCACTGTGTAATTGCATTATGGAGGTAACAGAGGAGGCAGGGCAGCACGGTGTCTCAGCAGTGTGGGGCTAATGGCTGCTGACTGCAGCAGATGAACAGCTCTGTGCTCTGGGTCCGGTTGGGCTACTAATGCATACACACACACACTAAACTTCATCTATATGAAGTCATACTGTACACTTCTATTGTTTTTCATAATAATACTAATAATACTAATAATGATGATAAATCTGTGAATAACATTGTAAGAAAACAAATATTGAAAAAAATTTAAATAAAATAAAATTATATAAAATATTTTAATTAAAACTGGAAAAATATATCTAAGTGAAGTCTACAAACAATGTTATTTTATAACAGTGAATAAAATAAAAACAAAATGACATAATATTATATAAAACAAAATAATTTTATGAATAATTTTTACAATTGAGACGTCTCTGGATATCCCCAAAAGCTAACTTGTGGAGACATTTGTGGAGACAATGGCAATCCACTTCCCCTAAAATATACGCAAACATAAAAACCTTATCTTACTCTCATGCTCATGTACTTTCTGAATTGGATAAATATCAAATATGCAAACAAATTGAATGCAACTGCCAACTTGCTGTTCTGGTATTTTTATTGGTTTTTATTTTAATTGTATTATTTTATAATAGACTTATAGCACCCTGTCAGATTCCTTCAACCCAAATGTAAATGTTCAGAATGTGTGAATGTGATTCAATCATTTGCATGAGGCTGAACCATGTTCAGAGTCAGAGTAGAATGACTGAGCTCTGGCTACAGTCAGATTCAAGGACGCCTGCTGACTACTTTTATCTTCGAGCATGAGTTCATCATTGATTTTCCTGCTAAAGCAGCCTCTGCAGAAACCAAGAGAGAAACACAATACTGCAACTGAGCTCCTCTCCATGTCCACACTTAAAGGTGCAGTCTGTCACTGTAAAATCACGGTTGCTGGAGCAACAAATGCTTATGAATGAAGAGCATCAACGTGTCTGTGGTCATTCATCTTTGTTAGAGAAACTCTGGGATGAATTTGGCAGTGGTGTTCAGCTATTTTTCTACCAAATTACACGTCTTTCCTTAACACAATCAAGTGTTGCACTTAGGGCCCAAAAATAACACTCGCCAATTGCCAAATTAATGTAACATTGACTTGGGTGAGTAAATGAAATGAGTGAGTTACTCACCAGTAACTTTACTAGGAACTGCAACATAATACACAGTTTAAATCTAATTTTAAGTATGATAATCAGAATCTTGCTGACGTAAGTAACACAAGGCAAATTGACTATAAAGGAAAACATCTGTTGAGTCTTATAACAACTTTTACCTGGAAAATGTACCACTAGAAGGTCATCTAGGGTGCCTGATATTTTTTCTCCAGAACTCCATGTGGTGGCACATATGCAGAAAATTTTTCACATTAGGCTCCCAAAACAAAAAATATGATGAACAAAATCATGTGATTCTTCAAATGTCCATATTTTTGTGATGGAGAGATGGAGAATATCTCATCCTGATAGTCTATCCTATTGAGATATATATATATATATATATATATATATATATATATATATATATATATATATATATATATATATATATATATATATATATATATCATATTGAGCACATGTCCTATTGATTGGACCTAATGGGTTAAACAATTCTGTTTACAAAAGTGTTGCACAACTCATCAGACTGTCAAACATACATTTGCCACCAGGGGGTTGTGAAATAGATGTTTGGCTGCAAAACAATCTTCTACAAGGTTGCCTCAGGTTACACAATACAATGCTATACAATTCCATAGACTTTCACTTCACATTCTCTTCACACTGGGTCTGGATTGATCGTCACTAGAATAAAAGTCACAGTGAAATACCGTATGATTAGAGCTTACTTATCATTTAAAGCAGCTAAGTTATCTATTTATGGAATGGTCTTCTCACATGTCTTATTGTGTGATTGTTTGGAGTCAGGTTTCTCAATTGACTATCAAACCTGTTAGATCCCTATATAAACAAACCTTAAACATTTTAGACAAGAAATCAATCAGATGGCATCATTGCAACATTTTACAAAAATACAGTTTGCTTAGTTTTGACAATTTTATGAATCTGTCTCTTAATATCTTATTAAATGGTTTTTAAATGTGTCAATAAGCTTGCTCCAGATATCATGTGGCAATTAATAGTAAAACAGACCTCCGTGAAGGCACCTCATAAAGAGAAATAATCACCAAAACTATGCCAAACAAACTGCGTCAATTTGGAGCAATTTGGGCAACATGGGGTGGATAGTGATGTCACATGGTCAAAAAAATATTGTTTAATATCTCAAACACCAAACCAGCACAAAAGTTTGTTGTCATAGTTTTGGTGATTATTTCTTTTTATGGGGTGCTAACTTCACAGTGGTGTAAATCAGTGTAATAGAGGCATCACTACAAGAGGTGCAACTACACAGAACTGCATAGTGCCTAAGATAAAAACTATGAAAACACATTTTCAGTTAAAGGGACACTGCTTTGGAACAGTTTGCCAGTTGAACTGAAAATGCAAACGGAATTGAGCATCTTTCTGAGAAATATAAAAAAATGGTTCAAACAAAACCAGGTTTGTGAACATTGATGGTTGTACACAGTCTTAGACTGTTGTTACATTTATTGTACTTGTTATTTTACATTCTTTATGTAATATTTAATTGTATTTTAAAAGCCTAACCAGGGACTGGGGCTGCAAACTAGCCACTGGCTAGAAGCCTGTATGTAGAGCATCTGTAATGTTATTCGGCATTGTCCCTGTTAAATAAACAACCAAATAAATAAAAAAGTTTAACCCAAAGTAGTGCATCAAACTATGCTAACTACTGTGAATGTGAATACAGTTTCAGAGGGTCACTTCCTTTAGCCTGCTCCTGACAGCCATAACAGCCGGACAGGAAACATCGCCTAACACATTTCACCTGGCCCTGACACATCATACGTTACACTGCAGCGCAGTGACTCGGCTCCCAGCATTCTGTCTGCTACTTAACAGTTAACAATAGAGCAGACGCTGAGCAATAGTTTCCACCCAGGAAAAATGGTGAGAGACAGATAAGAGAAACAGAAGCATGGAGGAGGGGAAGATAATGCGCTGGAATCCCTAGGTGTCCATTTGCCCATATGACTCCTCCCTTTATCCCAATAATGCATTTTAAGGGAAGACTTTTCCTCATAACTTTGTAATTACGGTCTTATATACATTATCTACATTAGGCCTGAGAGGCAGAATGGCAGTGAGGCGACTTGTTTTGCTTTCAGCTGATATCTGCATAACTCTTGTACTGATGCATTAGGTCAATTTTATGCTTCTTTATCTACAAATTTGCTCACTACATTCCAAACACACTTGCTATGAAATATTATTTGATTATTATTGTTATTTATTTATTTGTTTTACGGAGTCTACTTACTGTAAGCCATGATATTTGTCACAGATATCAGCTGCTAGTTATTATTGCGAAATAAATCTTGAAAGGGTAATCAGGACCCTGACATAAATATTAATTTTAGTCAAAAAAATCATGTTAGAATACAGAGAATGATAAAACCTCAAAATGATGAATCAGTCGTTTGGACAATGGTCAAAACTCTGTATATTGGTATGGTAAAACCACCAGTTTTTTATAAAGTGAACAGTAAAATAAAAGTAAAATTTTTGTTTTTTTGGTGTTTTGCCATTCCAATACACAGAGTTTATCATTCAAATAAATAATGTGGGCCAAAAACAAGATTAAATATTATGCAAAAATCTTAAAAATCAAGTATAATTAATTGGAATTACAAATATAATACAATTCTGTTTGAACAAAAAGTTATGGGCAATTCCAGAATTTAACAGTTCTGGGAAAAAAAATCCAAGATGGTGGATGATTTCATTTAACATTGTTAAATATAAAAGTTCAAAGTCTGCTGATGTAAAGCTCTAATAAAACCAAACGAGAGAGTTATTTGTGTGCCGCACAGAGTTGCAACCTATCCAGTGCGCTACAAATTGTTCACTTATGAGGTTTCATGATAGTTAAGAAGGCAGCTCCTTGTGTAGGCAGTAGGGAGCTCACTAGGATTTGGAACAGACGTGTGTCTGTATTTTCCAGAAATTTGGTGCTGAAAAGCACAAAACATGTGTCCAACAATACACTAATCAACAGCCTTCACTATTAACTTGTGTAAATACCATGCATCTGATAATCAGAACGAGCTGACCTCATCGCTTCACAGCTGGCCAGATAAATCCGTCTACAGGCAGCTGGGCTCCGGCCCGGAGCCCCTGAAGGCTTGTGGTGGAGCTGAGCCACGTGGCCTGAGTTCTGGAGAACATTAGATGCAGTGAGAGTCTTACCACCATAACCACAAACAGCAGGTCTGGGGCTCCACAGCCTCCACATCTTAAAGCTATTATGAAAGCCTGTTTTTCTCTCTCTCCCCCTGTCCATCGACTCTCCAATCACTCATCGGATAAGCAGCTGCAGTGGCTCACAGACCTGCCCACAAGCTGACACTGTTATCCTTAAGCACCAGCCCAGGGGCAACTTAAAAGCCCTGAGGTTCTGGAAAATGTGAGGGAAAGTGTTATTTATTATTGTCATCCATGTTCGAACCTCTAATACTAATGGCAGCTAATAAAATACTGCTGTAATACTCAATGTGCTTTGACTCAATGCAATGTATTATGTGATAATGCCAATGTTTTTACTATTTAGTAAAGATTCCCTATTGTGTTTGTATTTTATGAAGTAATCTCTTGAGTTTTCACTGCATGAAACAAATGTGGACTTGACATAGAAATCTATGACACAAACAAGCATTTTAATGCTTTACCAGGCATGGAAACAGCCAGCTAGACTAACAAGTACACTTCTAAGAAATCAATAACGCACAGATAAACATTTAACAGGAGAGAAGCAATTCATGCTAAACTTCACAAGCCACAACAGGTCAAAACAACATAATGACCGACATAAGAGTCCTGTGGAATTAAATAGCAGAAGTGCAGCGGGGCAGATGTGGAGGAGTGCACACGACAGGACAGTAAATATGCCGACCTGACAGAGAGAGTGAAATCTCCTGGGTTGCTCTTGCTGGGTCTCGCTAGAAAGCTGCCATGGACGCCCCGTGTCAGGAGCAGGTGTTCTGCCTCGATCCCAGTGATGTTGGGATGAAACCACCTGAAATGAAAGCAAAATGACATGCTCAGCAAAGACATCAAGCCCTGATTATCAATAGCTAAGAAAGCATCTCATGATCAAAACTAAAATATAAATATAAAAAATACGCTAACACTTGTAAACATACAATGGTAAGCTAAAGTCTGACAAAGTCACTTGTACAACATTCTCTTCTGCATTTCTAACTTTTATGCTTAATTTTTATACACTATTGTTGAAAAGTTTGGGGTCAGGAAAAATGTTTTTCGACTTTTTTTCAGCAAGGTGATAGTAAAGACATTTCTAATGTTATATAAATATATGTCAAATATATATGCATTTCTGCATCCCGTGGCTCTCCAAACTCTTTGGCTCCTCCCCTTTGACCCACCCATTCTAGTGATGTCATCAAGCAAGCTTATCCATAGGTATATTTGTGTCCAATTTCAAGGCAAATGCCATTTCTAATCAGTTACGATTGCTGTGTTTGAAAAGTTATTTCCTAATCCTTCGGGGTTGATTGGGAGGGTGGAAGGGGACGAGAGGCCATGTGTAATCTGGGCTAGTGTTGAGCCCCAGCTGTCTGGCTGCCTGCAGCCCGTCTGTTCATACACCGGCTCCCTCACGTGAGAAGGCTTTGTGAATGGCCATCCAGGGGTCAGGAGTAATTTTATCTGTGTGCTGTTTCTAAGCATGTCTGCCTGCTAGGGGCCTTGTGTCTTAATCTCACTTTAAGTGACCACATGCGGGTCACTTACTTTCATCTTGACAGAACTGGGTGAACCCTGATCACACTGTATGATTGCTATTATATACATTACAGTACAAATGTTTGGGTCAGCAAGATTTCCTATAGTTTAAGTCTCTTCTGTTCGCAAAACTGCATTTATTTGATCAAAAATACACTAAAAACAGTAATACTGTGAATAAAGCACAATTGAAAAATTTTCTTTTTATAATTCATTCCTGTATTATTAAATTCTCAAGTGTTGAATTTGATCATACAAATTTTTTAAGGTAATTCTGTTATGCATGAATTAAATGAATATTCAAGATTCAACACAAGTGAAGCAGAATCTGGCTCTCATTATTACAGAAAATAATTCTCAAAAACTCAGCTATATGTAGATAACATTCCCTTGGTGACAATGAAATCAGCAGAAAGGTACAACAAAAAGATACAATAGTACATTATAGAAAACAAATGCTTAAGCTTGCAAAAGAAAAAAAACTTTACTATTTTTGGAGCACTTGAGATGGAACGGCCCATATATTAGATATGAATTTGGGACAAATACAAAACAATAGCATTGTGTGATGCACAGAGTTGAAGACTATGCATGTATAAACAAACATGTGCACGACAAAGAAATTTAAGATTTAGAGTCCTGGTGCATTACTGTGAACAACTCGAAATGTTCTTCAGAATGCCTCAAATGTTGTCTAAAGATTAACTTGTATTTAAAAACAGAGGTCTTAATGAACAGATGTGTGTATTACGTCTTACCCTGATATTGTGATTTTAAACTCTCACTATTCTCCCTCCATCTTTCCACGCAAAGCAAGTGAGCATCACTCACTTCCTCCAGTTCTTCACTGCGGAGGGAGTGTTGTAGCACCCTTGACGTTGTATCATATCATGGAGGGTACCTGTGAGCATTGGTAATCACGGTTTCACTGATCATGAGTCATTGCTTCTTTGATTCTGTTTGTCAAAAGGTCCATATTTTCCCCTCCTGTCACATCATCATAGACATAGTCCTTAACTTCCCTATCTTTTGTAAAGTTTGCCACTAAAGCAAAAATATTAAAATGTATGTGGATTAATAATTCATTGACATTTCTGTGAGCACTTTTCCTCCTGACAGTGACTTTCAGAAAAGCAAGTCCAAGCAACTACATCCTAGAAACAAATTTGTATGCAAATGTATGCACAGGTTTGTAATTGTAACAAAAAAGAATGTAAAAACGCTTACCATAAGTGAGCTACCATACCATATTTAGTGAAAAAAATATTGTATATTAATATTTAACACAATTTAATAAAAAATACACATAATTATACTGTAAAACACTGCAAAATTCTTGGGTTTTGGAAGTAAAACATCCGAATTACCTTATAAATTATGGTAAAATATGTATAACATTCAACAAGACAAGATATGAATGTTTACATTAAAATATTGCTAAAGTTATGATTTTGTAATGTAATTGTGTAATCTTAAGTATTTTGTGTTTGTGTGTATAACAATGTGCACTGTCTATACATGTTTATTAGTTTTTGGAAATTACACGGTTTTAATTGTTTAATAACAGTATATTATCATAAAAATGAAATAAATGATATACCTTATGAAATTTATTGCCACCCTGTATGAGTTTATTTTTTACAGGAAACTTCTGCTAATTTCAGCTGACTTTTTTATTTGATTTATTTTTTAAGAGTGTACAGGGCATACACAAAAGAGATACTTTAATATATCTATACGTCATGAAGAACTGAAATAAAGATATAGCACTAAATGTGGTCTGTGCTGTGTAGATAAACACGTCATCATACATTAGCTGATAATACATGGGCTCAATATCGGTTTTGCAACATTAAAGCAAAAGACTAGAATATTCTGTTTTAGAATATTTAACTGAGCCTAGGGGTGGGCGATATGGCAAAAATATATTACCTTTTTTTTTCAGGAAAATCACGATTCATAATTTTATCACGATTCTTTGTCATATCAAAATATACAATTAAAAAGATTTTAAAAAGTGGGTGAAGATAAAATTCTATCTTTTTATTAAAAAAATACGAACAAAGATACACATTACAAATACACATAATATACGAATAAAACAAACAGCGCTTTATTTTTCAGGTAGAGTAGGTGTATTTAGCAGTAGCATTCAAGAAATTGAATGAACAAATATAAAAATAAAACACTATATAGTATATACACTTCATTGTATAAATGATCCTACATTGATTCTTACAGCAACTGTATTAACATTTTTCAGTCAAGAGCAGTGAGTGATTTTTCTCTGTTTTGTTGCTGAATTATTAACATTAAAGAATGTCAGAAAGAAATGTTTGAATTAACCGGCAAGGCTTTAAAGCTCATGCAAATAATGTACTTTTGTGATTGCGAAGTGCACTGTCCCGTGAGTGTAACTCTACCGCTGAGTTAACATTTGATGTGAATGTATGTCGTGTTGTACACTATATTGAGACGAAAGGGCCAGAACTGCAACTGATAGAATGTGCGCTCTAGCACGATACTACGTTATTTCTTCAAAAGCAGATTGTGGAGACATTCAAATAATTCATTAGAATATGGAAAATTATGCAACCCACAAAAATATATTTTTGAAAAATATTTCTAGAACATCGAAGACTAAAAAAAAGTCAAAAATTTGATTCAATTAGGTCTGCTCATTATGTGCGTGATTGGTAAACATCTTAGTAGATAATTGTGGGATTTGGGGTCATGAGAAAATAAATAAATGGAATCTTTATTTTGCATTGTGGAAAACAGCAGGTGACACTAATCCCAGCTAAGCTGTTATGTATTTTCATAAAACAATGATAGTGGGCTTAGTCTGACCCCTTAACCCTTCTTTTCAGTTCCCAAAACTGTTCTCAGCCCTTCTCAAAAAACATTCTCTGAAACTATAGGAACAGATAACAATAACTTCCCAATTTCACGATAACAAAAATAAAGATTGCAAGTAGCAAAAAACACCAACAGGACAGGTTTCTCTTGTGATGGAGACCGTTTGGTCCTTTACTCGAACAGGAATGTACAGATGCAGACATTAAGGCAAGGATCTGCACGCAGGAACAAACAGCACCAGGTCACTTCTAAGCCTCACTGAGCTCCCAGCAGCTCTCCAGGAGCTTTCCTCCAGCACAACACACACAGCCACAACAAACCACAAACCATCCTGCGAAGTGCGCACACACTCCTGCACAAAAAGCGGCACCGAAAGAAACGCGTAGCGCAATTGCATGTGAAAACGGCATAGTCCGGATACAAAATGATAACAGCAACTAATGCCTCATGTTCCTACCTCACCATTCTGTTTGGAGCCTGTCAGAGCCCCTGCTTTGCTTCAGAGTTTGGTAATCCACGCTCAGTACAGTTACAGAAAGAGGGGGAGCAGGGACTTGTAGGAGTGCTGCTGGTTGGAAAGAGACGTGGGGGTGTTTAATCTGGGATTTGGATGCGTGTGAGCTGCCCTGATAGGAAAGCCAGCCAGTAAAGTCAGCTTTTGAGCAACTGTCCATCCCTCCTGCCTCCCCTTCCTCTCTTGCTCTCTCTCTCTCTCTCTCTGAACGTGACGCAGCGTTGCCATGCTGCCTGACACACTCTTACACCCCTTATCTTTATCTTTGGTACCATTAGGTTTCAATGGAGAGTGGCAGCTTTTGGAAAAAACAGCACTGCACATGCTGCACTCACCGATGAAGGCAAGAGAAAAGGAACGAAAACAAAACAAAACAGAAAAATGTAATGAAATGGTACAGTACAGTACAGTACAAGATTATATTCAGAGAAGCTTGGGTATTTAAGCATGCTGACAAACCATGGACATTTTGTATTTTTATTGTTTTATGGCATCAAATAACCATATCAGTATTTTGGTCTCTTTTTTAGTAAAATTATTGAGCATGCTTCAAAACAAGGTACAAGTAATTCTTGCATTAAGATAACACCAACTTTCAAAAGTTTGGGGTCAGTAAAAGTTTTGGTGCTTTTGAAAGAATATTCTTATGCTCAAATGGTTGTACTGCTTAATGAAGTGTGGAAGATTTTGTAACATGATAAATGCTATTTTTGACCAACTGAATGTGTCCTTTTTGATTAAAATACACTTAATTTAAGATACATACATAAAAGCTGTGGTTGCCGGAATTTTACCTTAAAAAATATGATAGCAACGTTTTAGGTTTTAACTTACATTTACAGTTAAATACTGTAATTTCATTAACTGATATAATGTTAATATACCAACCTTATTGAAGTACTGAAATCTGTTTTGTACCTTTGTAATACACTGATAACCACCAAATGCAGGTGGTGATGAGAAAGTCACATGATGAACCAAAGCCCATCACAAGCAGCTTTTAAATAATAACGTATATAGAAGGTGCACAGTGTCATTCACACAAACATCAAACACCATCATGCTAACACACATGAAACTGAAATAATGCAATAAACATTCATTTAACAACATTAGGTGTAACACACAACCCTAATATACAAAACTGATAAGACAAAAACTAAGAAGAAACATAGTTATTTCAACAAAAAAACATCAAATGTGAAATGTAACACAGGGAATTCTGGGAATGTCAATTTACGGTTATTCACTGTAAATTATACAGACTTTTTCACTTCCAAAAACGGTATACTACCGTAAAATTAATGTCCAATACATGTAATGTCCAATACAGTTTTTCACTGTATATAGTAGGGGAATTTACCGTTAACCATTTAACAGGTTTTTACTGTAGCATTTTTACAGTCTTTTATCGTTAAATTCACCGCCATTTTTTTTACAGTGTACTCTGAAAACAAGCTTTAGTATCTTACACAATTTTGCTTCTCAAGTAAAGTTATCATGTTTTTTGGATGGTTCAATATTTTTTAATTGTAAACAATGATTTTCAATCTTTCAATCTCTTTTATGAGATAAAGCTACAATAAACACAACAGTAACTAAATTTTAAGGGCATGTATACGTTTGAAGGATGATTTGCTCCTGCACTTCCATTTTTTTACAGTGTACTCTGAAAACAAGCTTTAGTATCTTACACAATTTTGCTTCTCAAGTAAAGTTATCATGTTTTTTGGATGGTTCAATATTTTTTAATTGTAAACAATGATTTTCAATCTTTCAATCTCTTTTATGAGATAAAGCTACTATAAACACAACAGTAACTAACTTTTAAGGGCATGTATACGTTTGAAGGATGATTTGCTCCTGCACTTGTGCACTTGCCAGCTTATGCAAACTTCTGCTACTGTAGGTTGCATAAGCAAAAGAAAAACGCTTGCCAAGTAATGAAGTAATTCTGTAGCTAAATGACTGATTTGAAAAAAGATGGAGAATGCATGTGAATAAATTGTACTGGTCAGGCTTATGAAGCTTTTTTCTTCATACTTTGGCACGAGTCACTATGGGACAGAGAGAATTAGGACAGACTGAGTGCCAGGAAACCAGGATTTCCCCAGAATGGAGCTGGACACAATATCATGAGTCCAAAATATTAAGAGTTTAAACCCTAAGCTTTAGTTAAAGCTGAAGTGTGTCATTTTATAATCGCAAAAAATAACATTGACAGGTTTCCCTGCCATCTGCCATTGGTTGGACAAACATACAGTTCAGACGCTCCAAATACACATCCCTGTTTGAGGCTTGAGCCAATGTTGCTATGCCAGGATGCTAAAAAAAAAACACCAATGTTTTCTGCCAAAGAGACAGTTTTTACACTTTCAAGGAATCAACCTACAAATGCCTCACTTCTGTCCATCTCCACATCTTAAACTGGGGCACAAAGTATTTTAAAGTCAAAAGCTGTACACTTCAGCTTGAATTCTTATCAGTTCTCTTTAATGCTTAATCATGGAAGTAATATTGTCCTGTAACTTCCTTTTAAACCTTATACAATCTCATAAGGACACAATAAATGCAATCTGAGGCCATTAGTGTTATAATGGTCAGATTAATGAATCCAAAGGAAGAGCTCTTCTGTTCTTTTAGCTTCCTCTTCGATAAAATAAATGCACGACTTTCTCCCCTGGTTTAACAATTAACAGCCATTGTCCAGCTTGCAGCCTGATACAAATAATAATGAACTCTGGCAAAAAAAACAACAACTAAATTCCAACAAGATGAATGAAAATAATTGACATCGAATGCAGTTTAAAAATAATATAACATTTTTAGTAATAGTAAAACCAACATGCAAATGAGATTTAAAATATCTGAAACATGAATGGCCACAGTCCTCTTTTGTCGCATCCATATTGTCACATTTTGTCGAGTGACACCAGAGACTCTCTTTCTTATGATAACTTGGGGGCACAAACGGGTTGTACAGTGAGGGCCAGAAAGAGAGAGAGCGAGTGATATCAGACAGAAAGTGCTGCAGCAGTGTTCTGACAGGGGAAACACACAGGCCCACGCGCACATATTGAGCTGCCTCTTCCCTCTTGCATAATGTCTCAAGTTCAACACAGTTGGCTATTTAAAGCGGCATGCTCGGTGACAAAAAGCGATATACATAGTACCCCCAACTCAGCTTCAAAGACTCCCTTGCGTCTATATTGGGGGCAGACGGGTCCCTGTGGCTGGATTTTGGTACCGTTACTGATATTTATAGAAAAGCTGATTATGCTGCCACATGTCAGTCTAGCGGTGACATGGTGAGTCAGTTCAAACACACACGGTCCTGTAGTTTGTCTCATTTTACTTCATCTGTTCATTAGCTTACATTTATTTTATGATTTTAAATAATTATGGATGTTTTTAAAATACAAATAATTTGTAACATTATAAATGTCTTTACTGTCACTTTTGATCAATTTAATGCATCCCAGCTGAATACATTTGTGTTAAATTCTTACAACTGATAATTGATAATTGAATTTGACAAGCATGTGACACTGAATAATGGAGTTACAGCTGCTGAAAATTCTGCTTTGTCATCAAAGGAATAAATTCCATTTTAAAATATTTGAAAAATAGGAAACAGTTGTTTTAAATTGTAATAATATTTCACAATATTTCTGTTTTTACTGTACTTTTGATCAAATAAATGTAGAAATGTAAAGCATAAGAGAAAATATTAAACACACACACACACACAGATATAGTGTCAGATATGGGTATATAGCTGCCGCCCACACTGTAAAAAATAAGTGTAATTTTAACTGTAAAATTTTGTAAAAACGCTATGGAAAAAAACTGTTAATAGGTTAACAGTAAGTTCCCGTACTATATACAGAGAAAAACGGTAAAATATCTAACCAGGCATTTCATGTAATTGTACAGTAAAATGCTGTTCATTTTTTACAGTTTTTAGAAGTAAAAATAACAAATAAATGTATAATTTAGTCAAAAACTGTAAACTGATATTCCCAGAATTCCCTGCATGACACTCCACATTTGAAAGTATTTTGTTTAAATAATCATGTGTTTTTTTTATAGTTTTTGTTATTAGTTATGTATATTTGGGCTTTATGTTACATCTTCTGTTGTTTAATGAAAGTTTAATGCATTATTTAAGTATCATGTGTGTTACCATGATGGTGTTTTGTGTTTGCATGAATGACTCTGTGCACCTTCTATATATTAGTATATACTTCTGCTTGTGGCGAAGCTACTTGTGATGAGCTTTGATTCTTCATGTGGCTTTCTCTTTTACCACCTGCATTATTATGGTGGTTGTCAGTATGTTAAAGGTACAAAACAGATCTTAATAGCAGTGTGCATTGTTGAATTTACTGGTTTACATTCAAATTTACTTGTTTGTAAATTACATTTTTATACTGTAAAAATTAGAACACAAATAAATGTGTTCAACCACAGCTGCCAAAATTATTTTGTAAAAACTACAGAATTTTTTTTTACAGTGCAGTTATAGCTATGAGACATTACGGCAGTGAATTTGAGTTAATTGAGTGCGAGTTCATTGATTAACGAAAGTCCCCAAGCACGTACATGTAAGGTCAAATCAATTCACATACATAACTATGGTACATACGCGGTAGCAGTCTCTCTCTCCCCTTACTGAGGGAGAAATATGTTGCCATTTTTGAACTTGCCCTGGGTTAGACAGCCCAAGGACACATGAAACAAAATCTAATGTCAACGATCATATTTAAATTCTTGACAGCTGATAACAACCCTTCCAATAGAAATTGCCTCCTGGAATTGGATTAAGACCTGGCTTTACGCCCTAAAATTGGAATCTAGGAGAAAAACAAGCGATGATTTATGATATGAACAATGAAATGAACAACATCCATATACTTTAATACATTGTCTCCATAATCTATATCATGGATATGGAGACATTAATCTATATAATTCATTTGATCTGATGTGAAATAATTCCTTGATTAATAAATAATGTAGGTTTAGGGCAATGCTGAATAGCTGTAAGTCTACTGGACTGATTTTAAGGGTTCATTTATAAAATGCTAAATGATAATCATCAAGCAACCCATGATATGTAACACTTTTGATTTCAATTTTAACATAAATGTCAATATAACAAGTGGGGATGCACGATATATCGGCCACCATATCG